CTGCACATCCAATAGAGTTTACACTGTGAAGACTGTACAGGCAATAGAGTTTACACTGTGAAGACTGTACAGCCAGTAGAGTTTACACTGTGAAGACTGTACAGCCAATAGAGTTTACACTGTGAAGACTGTACAGCCAATAGAGTTTACACTGTGAAGACTGTACAGCCAGTAGAGTTTTCACTGTGAAGACTGTACAGCCAGTAGAGTTTACACTGTAAAGACTGTACAGCCAATAGAGTTTACACTGTGAAGACTGTACAGCCAATAGAGTTCACATTGTGAAGACTGTACAGCCAATAGAGTTTACACTGTGAAGACTGTACAGCCAATAGAGTTTACACTGTGAAGACTGTACAGCCAATAGAGTTTACACTGTGAAGACTGTACAGCCAATAGAGTTTACGCTGTGAAGACTGTACAGCCAATAGAGTTTTCACTGTGAAGACTGTACAGCCAATAGAGTTTACACTGAAGACTGTACAGCCAATAGAGTTTACACTGTGAAGACTGTACAGCCAATAGAGTTTACACTCTGAAGACTGTACAGCCAATAGAGTTTACACTGTGAAGACTGTACAGCCAATAGAGTTTACACTGTGAAGACTGTACAGCCAATAGAGTTTACACTGTGCAGACTGTACAGTCAATAGTGTTTACACTGTGTAGACTGTACAGGCAATAGAGTTGACACTGTGAAGACTGTACAGCCAATAGAGTTTACACTGTGAAGACTGTACAGCCAATAGAGTTTACACTGTGAAGACTGTACAGCCAATAGAGTTTACACTGTGAAGACTGTACAGCCAATAGAGTTTACACTGTGAAGACTATACAGCCAATATAGTTTACACTGTGAAGACTGTACAGCCAATAGAGTTTACACTGTGAAGACTGTACAGCCAATAGAGTTTACACTGTGAAGACTGTACAGCCAATAGAGTTTACACTGTGAAGACTGTACAGCCAATAGAGTTTACACTGTGAAGACTGTACAGCCAATAGAGTTTACACCGTGAAGACTGTACAGCCAATAGAGTTTACACTGTGAAGACACTACAGCCAATAGAGTTTACACTGTGAAGACTGTACAGCCAATAGAGTTTACACTGTGAAGACTGTACAGCCAATAGAGTTTACACTGTGAAGACTAGACTGATAGTACAGACAACACAGTAAAGGCAAGGCAGTAGACATTGCTGGCAGACAGTACACATGGGATAGACAGTATGGAAGGGATAACCCAGTACACACAAGACAAGCACACATAAGAACTAACAGTTAAGTCGGTACAAATAAGATCGTATAAACAAAATAACAGATTCTTTAGTCAGATCGTCGTTAGAAGAAATGGGAGCAAAACCATTTTAATTAAATCAAACGTCAGAGTCCACATTTCTATAAAATGTCAAAAGTGTGTTCCACTTTTTCGACAGATGAGCTCAAACCTGTTCGCCTACCGATTACAGTTAACAAAAACACATCGGCGGACATTCCAAATTCCCATGACGGGGATCAGTACATTCATGAACACAGCTCCACTGCTGGGTTTTAATTTTATCTAAACCCTATAGTGTCACGTAAAATAATACCCCGTGAGATGGAACGTATTCGTTCGTAAGACTGGAAAGGACCAGGGGGAGAGAAGCGTCGAGTGGCACTAACAAACTAGTACTCCGTTTTAGTCCAACCCGAGGCTGCTGCTGATGATTGTGATTTCGAATGGTGGCTCTTTATTGCGAGCGTCGGATGTGTACAGACGAATGCGCCGCTTTATTACATCGTAAGTGTTTATTTATTTTAATGTAACACGCAGATGTGAACAACACGATGCTCATGCGGGGCCTTGCCAAGGAGGCTCGTGAAAGCCAGACGAACATCGTAAACCCCAACGTGAGGAGGTGTGATGATGGTTGTGATGGTGATGATGAGGGTAATGGTGACAGTAAGGTGCTGATGATGAGGGTAATGGTGACAGTAAGGTGACAAGGTGATGATGATGATGATTGTCGCGATGTTATGGTGACGAGGAATCGCCGATGAGGATGGTTGAAATGTATGATGATGATGGCGATGATGATGGTGTAGTGGGAATAATTGTTTGTAAGTTGAGGGTGGGTATGATGATCATCATGACGACGATATTGATGTGTATTATTATAAGGCAGAACATGATTATGATGTAGAGACTGAAGGAGCGTCGTCTAAGAGACGGAGATGATGGTGATGAAGTTTAGTATAAAAGGACGATCGATCAGACTATAGATGATGAAGATGATGATGATTAAAATACGGAGTGCGATTAGTGTAGCTATTGATGATGTTGCTGATGAATGATGATGATGCTCGTGACAGAGCCCTCGACTCTGGCCGTCAGACCAGGCCCGAGCCAACATCGGCGGCGCAAACCCTCGTACAATAGGACAACCGTCACCACAACAATCACCACCATCACCACCACCACCAAGCGAGAGTGAGGAGGAGAGCGAGAAGAACGAGAGCTCGGGAAACAGGGCCGCGTCTATAGCCGCCCTCTTGTCCATCACACGAACCACCACCACCTCCCACCCCTCGAGCGGCATTTAAACGAACCGAACACCACCATAACCATCATCATCATCACCACCACCACAACCACCATCATCACCACCACCACCATCATTATCACCACCATCATCATCACCACCATCATCATCATCGCGTTCACATCACCACCGTCTACAACGTTGGCTCCCTCCCTCCCCACCATAACAACGAGCGATCAAACGACCCCTCCTCCTCAACCACCGCCAATTCCCTTTCAACAAAATCATCAACACCCCCCCCCTCCCCACTCCGACACACACACAACCCAACATATTATCTAAACGTTTAGTGTCACATAAAAAACACACGCTCGCTCACCTACACGTACAGAATTCACAAGATAAATATGTATAATCGCTATTGTGCGAGGATGGAGATAGTACGGGGAGGAGGTTGATTGGGGCGGTGGTGGTGGGGAGGCAGGAGGTGGTGGTGGTGGTGATGGGGAGGAAGCAGGAGGCAGAAGGAGGTGGTGGTGATGGGGAGGCAGGAGGTGGTGATGGGGAGGCAGGAGGTGGTGGTGGTGATGGGGAGGCAGGAGGAGGTGGTGGTGATGGGGAGGCAGGAGGTGGTGGTGATGATGGGGAGGCAGGAGTTGGTGATGGGGAGGCAGGAGGAGGTGGTGGTGATTGGGAGGAGGTTGATTGGGGTGGTGGTGGTGATGGGGAGGCAGGAGGTGGTGGTGATGGGGAGGCAGGAGGTGGTGGAGATGGGGAGGCAGGAGGTGGTGGTGATGATGGGGAGGCAGGAGTTGGTGATGGGGAGGCAGGAGGAGGTGGTGGTGATGGGGAGGAGGTTGATTGGGGTGGTGGTGGTGATGGGGAGGCAGGAGGTGGTGGTGATGGGGAGGCAGGAGGTGGTGGAGATGGGGAGACAGCAGGAGGAGGTGGTGGTGGTGATGGGGAGGCAGGAGTTGGTGATGGGGAGGCAGGAGGAGGTGGTGGTGATGGGGAGGAGGTTGATTGGGGTGGTGGTGGTGATGGGGAGGCAGGAGGTGGTGGTGATGGGGAGACAGGAGGAGGTGGTGGTGATGGGGAGGCAGGAGGTGGTGGTGGTGATAATGATGGGGAGGCAGGAGGTGGTGGTGGTGATGGGGAGGCAGGAGGAGGTGGTGGTGATGGGGAGGCAGGAGGTGGTGGTGATGGGGAGGCAGGAGGAGGTGGTGGTGGTGATGGGGAGGCAGGAGGTGGTGATGATGGGGAGGCAGGAGGAGGTGGTGGTGGTGGTGATGGGGAGGCAGGAGGAAGAGGTGGTGGTGATGGGGAGGCAGGAGGAGGTGGTGATGGTGATGGGGAGGCAGGAGGTGGTGGTGGGGAGGGAGGAGGTGGTGGTGGTGATGGGGAGGCAGGAGGAGGAGGTGGTGGTGATGGGGAGGCAGGAGGAGGAGGTGGTGTTGATGGGGAGGCAGGAGGTGGTGGTGGTGGGGAGGGAGGAGGAGGTGGTGGTGATGGGGAGGCAGGAGGAGGTGGTGGTGGTTATGGGGAGGCAGGAGGAGGTGGTGGTGATGGGGAGGCAGGAGGAAGAGGTGGTGTTGATGGGGAGGCAGGAGGGGGTGGTGGTGATGGGGAGGCAGGAGGTGGTGTTGATGGGGAGGCAGGAGGAGGTGGTGGTGGTGGTGATGGGGAGGCAGGAGGAGGTTGTGATGGGGAGGCAGGAGGTGGTGGTGGTGGTGGGGAGGCAGGAGGTGGTGGTGGTGGTGGGGAGGGAGGAGGTGGTGGTGGGGAGGGAGGAGGAGGAGGTGGTGTTGATGGGGAGGCAGGAGGAGGTGGTGATGGGGAGGCAGGAGGAGGAGGTGGTGTTGATGGGGAGGCAGGAAGTGGTGGTGGGGAGGCAGGAGGTGGTGGTCGTGGTGGGGAGGCAGGAGGTGGTGGTGGTGGTGGGGAGGCAGGAGGTGGTGGTGGTGATGGGGAGGCAGGAGGAGGAGGTGGTGTTGATGGGGAGGCAGGAGGTGGTAGTGGTGGTGGGGAGGCAGGAGGTGGTGGTGGTGGTGGGGAGGGAGGAGGTGGTGATGGGGAGGCAGGAGGTGGTGGTGGGGAGGGAGGAGGTGGTGGTGGGGAGGGAGGAGGTGGTGGTGGGAGGGAGGAGGTGGTGGTGGGAGGGAGGAGGTGGTGGTGGGGAGGGAGGAGGTGGTGATGGGGAGGCAGGAGGAGGAGGTGATGGTGGTGGTGGGGAGGCAGGTGGTGGTGGTGGTGGGGAGGCAGGTGGTGGTGGTGGTGGGAGGCAGGTGGTGGTGGTGGTGGGGAGGGAGGAGGTGGTGGTGGGGAGGGAGGAGGTGGTGATGGGGAGGCAGGAGGATGTGTTGGTGTTGATGGGGAGGCAGCAGCAGCAGCAGGAGGAGGAGGAGGTGTTGTTGGTGGCAACCTTGTGCGTGGCGATGTGGCTGCTGTTGCTGTGTAACAAACGCGTGTCCTCACCTTGGGACGACGAGGTGGACGACGAGGCAGGGAGTGCGAGTCGTGAGGCGTGAGTCGTGAGACGGATGTAGCAACGACGGCAGAATTCGCGTCAGCCCCACTCGCCGCCGCCGTCGTCGTCGTAGCGAATGTCTCACTTCCGCCGCCGTGACCCTTAACCCGGAAGCGATGGTGACTGAGAGGGCGATAGCATTGTGGGATACCTTCACTCCCCTTACACACACACAAACACTAAACAATGTATTTATATTTTTGATTTAAAGCTTTCGTGACTGCAGGGATTCATATTCTTGGTTCTTTCGGTAAAGTCACGTAGAAGGGAATTAATAAAATAATACAAATAAAACATAATAACATACAATTGTATTTAATAAAATACTTAATAAAATACAATTGTATTTTATTATGTTTTATTTTTATTATTTTATTTCCCTTCTACGTGATAAAATAAAATATTTAATAAAATACAATTGTATTTTATTGTTTTCTTTTTATTATTTTATTATTTCCCTTCTACATGAATTAAAATAATACAAATAAAACATAATAAAATACAATTGTATTTTATTATGTGTATTGTATTTTATTATGTGAAACTTTTATTTTATTATTGTATTTTATTGTTTTCTTTTTATTATTTTATTATTTCCCTTCTACGTGACTTAACATAATACAAATAAAACATAATAAAATACAATAGTATTTTATTATGTGAAACTTTTATTATTTTATTATTTCCCTTCTACGTGACTTGTATACTTCGTAGTTCTTATAACACCCCCCCCCCCTCTCTTCTTCTCTTATTCAGTACGTGCCAGGCACCTCGGTGCTACGGGTCACAGGCGCTTGAGAGTTTAAACAATTATAGATTTGAATCTTTCGTGACTGCAAGGATTCATACTCTTAGGTTTTTTTTCGGTAAAGTCACGTAGGTAAAAATAAAAATAAATAATAAAAAATAAATAATAATAAATAATATGAATAATAATAGAAATAAAATAATAAATCACGACGTTGATGACCACCTTCACCTTCCTGGCTCCGCCCACACCCCAAACCCCCCCACCCTGCACCCGCCCCCCTTGGCTCCTCCCCCCTCCTCTCCCCTATATATTAATGCCCCATCACAAATAACTCCCACGACACTTATTTTGCCTTCTTCTTGGTTCTTTCGGTAAAGTCACGTAGAAGGGAAGTAATAAAATAATAAAAATAAAACATAATAAAACAATTCTCACGACGTTTCGGCCACAACGCAAGCAGCCGTCCTCAGGTGAAGAATGAGACAATGCCAAGCTAGGAGCTTATATATAAGCTGCGTTGGAGGTGGAAGAAAGAGCGCCTTAACAAAAGAATGTGCATATGAAGAGGAATTTAGCATATACATGGAAAATGCGTAGGAGGTGGGCGGGGGGGGGTTCAAAGTCATATTATGCCCATGCATTATGCAGGATCAACAGCACCAAGGGGGGGGTGCAGGGATTAGCAGTAACAAAGGAAAGGAATGTTAATGATATGTAGCTGCAGTTACTCAACAACCACGTAGAAAACTAAAGTATAAACTACATAAAAAACTAAAGTATAAATTGCATAGCACCATCAGTATACTTACTATACTCTACACTAAGCTGAGTTACTAACAGCAAGTAATACATTACAATTCTACGTCATAAAAATTTATATAATATGCTTCCATCTAAACTTTATTCTATTGTATCACACGAGCATATACAATAGAATAAAGCATATATATAAATTTTTATGACGTAGAATTGTAATGTATTACTTGCTGTTAGTAACTCAGCTTAGTGTAGAGTATAGTAAGTATACTGATGGTGCTATGCAATTTATACTTTAGTTTTTTATGTAGTTTATACTTTAGTTTTCTACGTGGTTGTTGAGTAACTGCAGCTACATATCATTAACATTCCTTTCCTTTGTTACTGCTAATCCCTGCACCCCCCCCTTGGTGCTGTTGATCCTGCATAATGCATGGGCATAATATGACTTTGAAACCCCCCCCGCCCACCTCCTACGCATTTTCCATGTATATGCTAAATTCCTCTTCATATGCACATTCTTTTGTTAAGGCGCTCTTTCTTCCACCTCCAACGCAGCTTATATATAAGCTCCTAGCTTGGCATTGTCTCATTCTTCACCTGAGGACGGCTGCTTGCGTTGTGGCCGAAACGTCGTGAGAATTGTTTTATTATGTTTTATTTTTATTATTTTATTACTTCCCTTCTACGTGACTTTACCGAAAGAACCAAGAAGATGAATCCCTGCAGTCACGAAAGCTTTAAATCGAAAATTATTTTGCCTTTTTACACCTGATGAAGGAAGCTTGTGTTGCCTTCGAAACGTCGTGATTTATTATTTGATTTCTATTATTTTTATTATTTATTTTTTTACCTACGTCACTTTACCGAAAAAACCTAAGAGTAGTAAAACAATTAATCGATGTCGCGTTGGGCCCCCCCCCCCAATCCGTACTCGGGTGGCTTCTCGTTTTCCTGAGGATGTTTGACCTCTACACCAGAGTTCGCAGTCGTCTTGACTCGCAACCTTTTTACCCTTCCCGACGCAACCGAAACGTGATCTTTGTTGTTGTTATTGTTGTTGGTGTCGTTGTTGCTGCTGCATTTTTTTCGTGGGTTAAAATCATTTAAATTCATTTGCGTAACCCACTACTACCACCACCCTCCTCGCCAAGGCCCTTTGTACTCGTTTTTTCGGTAAAGTCACGTAGGGAAAAATAATAATAATAAATAATAGAAATGATAATTATTTTTTAAAATAAATAATACAAATAATATTAATAATAATAGAAAGTATATTCAAAATAAATAATAAAAATTATATAAATTATCATAAATTGATTTATATTGTTATTTATATGATTTTTATTATTTATTTTTATTTTTACCTACGTGACTTTACCGAAAAAACCTAAGAGTATGAATCCTTGCAAGTCACGAAAGCTTCAAATCTATAATTAAGGCCCTTTGTGTTTGTTGCATTTGACGTTTCAGGTTGCACTTGTACGGCAAATATAATTTGTGTAGAAGTTGCAACGTGAGCGTGTTAAGTTCCCCCACACACCGAGGCTGGCTCCGGCTTAATTCGTGTGGCGATTGTCTTGAGCCGCTGCTGGGCCCTCCGCTAGGTCGACTCGGCCTCAAATGACTACCCTAACAAAGTCGTCGGCATTGGTGTGTTTCCCTGCGTGCCACTCAGTCCGTGTCGGCCTTCATTAGCTGCTGGCTGGCTCGTGCTGCTGCTCACTATCACTCGCAGCCCCCAACAATCTGTTCAGGGTGAGATTTAAAGCTTTCGTGACTGCAGGGATTCATATTCAAACATTTTCTTGCTGTGGATTTCACACCTGATGATGATTGCTTGTGTTGCAATCGAAATGTCGTGAGAATTTTATTGTTTTTTTCCCCCCAAAAAAATATTGCAGTGGTTTTCACACCTGATGATGATTGCTTGTGTTGAAATCGAAACGTCGTGAGAATGTTATTGTTTTTTTTTTCCAAAAAAAATCTTGCAGTGGTTTTCACACCTGATGATGATTGCTTGTGTTGAAATCGAAACGTCGTGAGAATTTTATTGTTTTTTTTCTCAAAAAAATTCTTGCAGTGGTTTTCACACCTGCTGATGATTGCTTGTGTTGAAATCGAAACGTCGTGAGAATTTTATTGTGTTTTTTTTTTGTTTAAAAAATGTTCTTGCTGTGGTTTTCACACCTGATGACGATTGCTTGTGTTGCAATCGAAACGTTGTGAGAATTTTATTGTTTTTTTTATTTCTTGCTGTGGGTTTCACACCTGATGATGATTGCTTGTGTTGCAATCGAAACGTGATAATTTTATTGTTTAATTTTTTATTTTATTATTTCCCTTCTATACGTGACTTTACCGAAAGAACCAAGAATATGAAGTCTGTTCAGGCTCAACGTTGTTAGGGGGGCGAGGGGGGTGAAATCGCTGTTGTCATTCGAACGACGTTCACAAGAGACGGCTCACAAACATCAACAACATCAACAACAACGTCGTCGTTGTTGTTAGCGGTGAGTGATGTGTGTTGAAGGGATTGATGACGTGGTGGTTGATGCTAATGCCGTGGTGCAAAGACGACCTCCCAATTAACAAACACAACTCGTTAGTGACCGCTGCGGGCCTTAAAAAAACAATATACGTAAAATAGGCGACGTTTCGGGCGATGGTCCTACAACGAGTAATTTGTTGACGTTTCTAAAAGTTTAACTTGACCAAGCTGCGAGTAATAGGTTTTTTTACCCTTTTAACTGGTACAAAAACTGACACCTTTATACAAGGCATCATGTTTGCAATAACCACAACACAAGCAGTCAAAATGCAAACAAAAAGAAACAACTCTGATGATGATAATGATATGCACTGTCCTTGAAGTTGATTGGTCCACACCCGAGACAGCTTTTCTTAGAGCCTAGTCTCCATTGGTGTTGGACCAGATGACGCCAAAAGGCGTAAAACTCAAAGACAGCGCACTATCAGAGTATTGAGAGCTCGGGGATGTGTGCCCCCCCAATATATATTATAATTACGGCCTTGATATCAATTAACCTTTACCTGCATCGAAGCGAGGTTACCATGTGGTGTGTGTGTGTATCTGCATGCAAATTGGGGAGCGGTGACGATTATCTGAATCGGTCCTGGGCATCCTCTATGTCGACTCAGCCTCAAATGAGTACGCGGTGCGGTGTGTAGTAAACATCGCCACTGGGGAAGACAAAGGCGGTCGGGCGTGGTGCTGACCACCCACGTGTGCCGTGCCGGCCTTCGTAGGTGCTACTCGCTAACAGCACTTGCCCCAATAGATTGTTCAGGCTACACGGGGGACCTTTGTCTACATGCAGAGTTATACACTGTAAAGGTCACCTCGGTCTCAAAAGAATAACATAACTTGGTGCGGTGTGTTGAAATATCTCCACTAGGGAGACAAAGGCGGTCGGGCGTGGTAGAGGCCACCCATTCCACCTCGCGTCCCCTTACCCCTCTTTATAGGTGCTCGCTAACAGCGCTTGCCCCCGAAACGTCTGTCAAGGCTATGTCTTTGCCAACATGCGCACATGACAACATCGTGTCAAACTCTCTGTGC